TTTTTCCTTGATGAGTTATTATTAATATGTCTTGGTGTTTTTCCCTTCCATGTAAATCTCTAGAATTCTTCCTGCTTGATTGGATTTGAGAACTGTAATTTGTTGACTTTGAACTATAATTTGCATTTCGTTATGTGATTTGGGATTTAGGATAACTAGATTAGATTTACTTCCATTGATGTTTATGTCATTAAGGTTGAAGAATTCTATGCATATGTTACAGATATTTTGAAGTTTTTCTTTGCTATCCACAATAAGGGTTGTGTCATCCATAAATGCCAAATATGAGATGTCTTGTGATAGGGTAAAAGGTATTGTCGTGGAGTCTGTTCAGGCCTGTCCCTTAATAGTATATTCTTTTGTTCCTTTGGCTATGTTTGTGAGTAAAGGGTCATAATAAATCCTCCAGAGTAATGGGGAGATTGTTTCTCCTTGGTCTATTCTATTTTCAACTTCGTATTGTAATAATAGTCCGAAAGGTGTGATGACTTGATTCTATTGATTGTTGCAGATATTTGTAATAAGTTGATAGATTTTTGTTGGGCATTTGATTCTTTTTATTGCAAGTTTTAGATGTTGTGTACTTATGGAGTCAAAAGCTTTTGCCATATCCAGGCTGAGTATCCATGTTTCTTTTTTGTTTTGTTTTGCGTTATCTTGAATCGCTCTGAGGATTTGTATAGGTTCTTGTATATTGCAATCTGGAAGGGCTGCCCAGTTGTATGGTGAGAGAATTTGGTAGTGTTGGAAGGTTTTTGCTAATCTGCTTGTGATAAGCTTTGTGAATGTTTTTCTTGTTGTTTTTAGGAGTGTTATTGGTCTTGTTATATTAATGTTATTTTCCCAAGGTTTGAGTTTTAGGATGGGGTAAATGTTGCCTGTTTTCTATTCTTTGGGAACTGTGCCTTGAACTAGAATATCATTAAAAAGGTCTGTGAGGAAATAGAATGACTCTTTGATTAATTTTTTGAGTGTGATATATGGTATCCCTGTTGGTCCTGGTATTGTTTTTGTTGATTATATTTTGAGTATACTTTGGACTTCTTCTATTGTTATAGGCATAATTATGTTTACATATTACTCTGTATAGATGTGTTGTTTTGGCTTGTATTTTTTTTCCCATCTAGTGTTGTTGATATCTTTGATATTACATTTGCTGGTCCACTTGCAAAAGTATGCACTGACTGTTTGCTTGATTTCATCTGGATCTGTAATAATGGCTTCATTTGAGTGGTTGATAATGATTTTGTCCAATATTATATGTTTTTTTAAGTCATCTAACAGGTTTTTGATCATTTGTTTTTTGTTTGTAATAAAGTATACCTGTCTTTGTTGGATTCTTTCTTTGATTGATTCTGCTTGTTTATCCTTGTAAATTTTATTTAGGATTTGTTTTTATGTGTTCTTTGTTGTTTTGAGATCTTTGATCCATGTTGTGACATTTGTTATATTGTATGGTTTGGTTGGGGAATTGACTGTGAATGTATATTTATTGTTGAGTTTTTTGATTATTTTATTGATTTTTCCCTCGATTTCAGATTTTGTTGATTTATTTTGATTTAGCTGATGCCCGAGAGCCTGCAGTTTAGATAGTTTGCGAATAATGAATGTTGAGGGTTTTGGTGGTTTTAGTGATTTTCTTTTTTCTCTGTATTTTTTAATATGTTTAGCTGCTGCTTATAGGATCACATCTCTAAAGAGGTTCCATTTTCTTTTTATATTTCTTTCTGTATTTGTTGTTTTCAGCCATGTGTTTTGTAGTTGTGAGTTAATACTGTTATTAAAGTCTTTACATTTTTCAGGGGTTGTATACTCTCATAAGAAACGATTGTTGATTGTAATCTGATTCTGCTTGTTGTTTTGACATCAATATTCCAATGTTGAATGATACATTGTGCTGCTTTATGTAAAGGGTTCTTCAAGTTCTTTCTAATACTTAAGTTTTTAAGGCTGAGGTGTAATAATTTGGTCCAAGTATTCTTCTATTTCTACAAAATAAACTCAATTTCATTCATTAGTATGCATATTCGTCTACTCAAATTATACCAAAGTTCCTGTTGTAGCAATGGGCATTCACACTATCACCTAATTTGAAACTCTTCCAAAGTTCTTTATGGTTGCAGTTTCACCTTCAAATGTCAAACATTTGTATAGTAGTTTATTTGAACAATTAGATATTTAGTAATTAGATGTTTAAACAAATAAATATTAATTTTATTCAGATATTTTCTCTTGCTTTATATATATGCTAGTCTCAAAAAATTATATCAGATATATCAACTATCTAAACTATCACTGCTATATCTTAAATAAAACAATGAAATCAAAGAAAAGAAATATATTACAGATATCTCATTTTTCTCAGATTTGTCATTTTTGGAATCGTCATTGCATATATTCATGTGACCATGCAATTTCCCTTTCACATTTATGATCTGTTTCGAAGGTTTCTTCATCTTGTTCTTGAATGGTGGCATTTGTGAGGAGTCAGAGTAATAATGTGGAGATCCAAATCTGATCTATTCGGCTTGTGATTTTTTCAGAGTTGCTCCATATGTGTTGTATACTATATGGGTTGAGGTTGTGAAAGGTGTTTGTGTATTGGTTGGAAAGAAGCCATTTGATTAACTGGCCTGTGGGTTGGTGTTGTTTTTTCTTTAAGAGTTTTAAGTTTGGCATGTCAATACTGGAGTCTGCAATAAAGTTGAAATCTCCTAGGATGATGGTATGACTGTTTGACATTTTTGCTTGTTAGCAAGTTTGATTATTTTATTGGTGCATTCTTGATAAACTTGATGTTTTGTTGATGGGAGATATATTGCTATGATTTTAAATTTGCACTTTTGTTTGAAAAGGAGATCGACTAAGATAATTTTGTCTTGCCATATGTGTTTTTTGTGGATGTGGCATGCTAGAATTTGTTTAATAAGCAGTGCTACTTCGAATTCTTTGGTTTGTGTACTTGTTCCATTCCATATGGTTTGGTAGTTAGATATTTGTATAAATTTTCTTTCTTTGTTACTAAGATTTGTTTCTGTTAGTACCATGATATCAGTGTTTTCTTTGGTGATCTGGTCTATCCATATCTGAAGTTTCCCCGGGTTTGCTTTTAGTCCTCTGGTATTTGTTGTGTTGATATATTATTTTTTATCTGTATTGGTATTTGTTGATGTTTGTTTAGTTTAAGGAATTGGAATATTTTTTGTTATCATTAGTGTATTGAAGGTGTGGAATGTTAATTGGATTGTTATATCTTTTTTGCTATTTGTTGAGTCTGTATCTAACCATGTAAGTTGATTTTCTATTTGTTGGGAGAGAATATTTAAGTAGTTGTTGGTTTGTATTGCTGTTGAAGGGGTATTGTATTGTTCGTTGTTATGACTATTATTGTTTTCCATTTTTATTGAATGTTTATTTGGTTGTGTTCTGTGTTTTCTGTCATAGTATTGATTGTTGAGACTAATCTATTAATACTGTTTTGGATTCTGTCTACTAATGCGAAGAGGTTGGTTTGTTGATTTCTAATTTTCTCGATGGTTTTTTCCTGTGGTTATTATTGTGAATTGCCATTTTCTTGGCTATTGTTGCTGCTATTTAAGATGTCCGATCGGTCTGTCTCCATTGTTTCATAATATTCTTCATTATAGTATTCTAGGTTTGTAATTCTTTTATCGATTTCTGAGATTTTCTCCTGGAGTTCTACTAGTTGTTGTTGGATTTGTTGCAGCACCTTGGCAATTTACTGAGTGATGGGTTTGGATTAATAGTTTTTTGATTTTTAACTATATTGGTAAAGGAGCTGAATTTTTGATTATTAGTTGGTTTGGGATTATTCATATTTCAGATTTTGATTGTCTTTGCTAATTTGAATTTGTTATACAAGGGCCCAAATTTGGCTACTTGTTCTTCATAATAATCATTCCATTGTTGGTATCTGATTTTGGATAAGCAATCTTTGGCAAGATATGTGTCTGAATTACAGACTGCATATAGTTTAGTATTGATTGATATGAAGTGAATTTCTGTTTTTCCAAGGATATATTGGTCTTGTATTGTTCTGAGTAAGTCATCTTTATTGGCGAAGCTGATAACTGCAAATCTTTTCTGTTTGTATACTAGTCTTGCTATTCTGGGGATATAGCATGTGAGCCTCTTGCTTTGTATAAAAATGTTTTTCAGATTCCATGCTATTGTGTTGGGTGGCAAGTTTACTAATTTGGCTGCAATTTCATATCTATTCTTCATTTGGAAAAGTATCTATAGTGTGTCATTGATTCTTACTGAATCTCCTTTGATTAGTGCACTTCTTTGTTTCACTAATTTGTTTTTGGTTGATTCATTTTTGAAGGTGATTGTAATGCTTTGCCATAGGTTTTGTGTTTATATTATAATTCCCGTGATTGCTTCAAATTTAGCAAAAGCTTGTCTCACTTTAATGATTTTTGTGTTCAGGAGTATATCCTATACCACAATAGATTTTTCTTTTTTGATTTGTTGACTTGTCGATTGTATGTGTTGGAGGGACTTGTTGTTTACATTTGATAATTTGATAGTGATTGCTTGTTCTGCTGCCTGTTGATCACCAAAAATGGTTATGATCTGCATTTTTTCATTTTTCCCTTCACTGCGGACTAAAAGCAATCCTTTGGAAGAGTTGAGTACTAGAATGACTTGTTCAATCTTTTGGTATGTTGTTTTTCCTGTAAGTTCATCTGCTGTGATTCCTATCTTGTATCTTTTTTTACTATACCTGATTGTTCTATCGAAGGGGGAGAAGGGTCTTGGTTTGTTTGTTTCTCTGGAGTTTACTTGTTTGCTTTTTTTTTTGAGCATAGTGAATCATGGTTGGTCTTGTTTAGTTTCACTTTTGCTGTTTATCTCTGTGTCTATATTATCGATTCTGATGATTTTATTCTTTGTTTTCAAGGATTTTTTCTGATCTTGAGGATTGGTGTGACCACTGTTGGTTTTCAAGTCTGTCTGGTTGTTTTGTTCACTTGCTATCTGTTCGTCCCAACTTTGCTTGAGTGGGGGATTCTATTGTGTTTCTGTTTGAATGGGTTTTCTTGTCTGGTGAATGGATAAAGCTTTCTGGTCTGGACTGTTGGGGTTCGAAGCTGTTTAGTATTGCTTTGAATTGTGAAGAATTGTGTTTGTTTTGTTAGGGTGCTGGGTTTTTTTGCGTACGGTTGAGTTCTAAGTGGAGTTACTTCCTTGGCTGTTCTTTTTTCGTATCTAAGTGTTTTATTTGTCTGTCTGCTAGAAACTTTACTGTTCCCTGGATTGCTTGTTATCTTTCTTGTTCGGATTGATTGCTGTGCCACACGTGAATGAGAAAGAGTTTTTGAAATAATTAATGTTTTCTTTTTATAACTATTCTCTATTATATAAATAAATATATATATATAGTATATAAATATATATTATTAATCACAGCATATCAATTTTCAAAAAATTGCCTTTTATAATAATACAATAGAAAAGCGAATTTTTACTTCTTTATGGATTCCCAAAGGAAGGATACTACCAGGAGCCAACCAAAGGAACAAACCAAGCTCTTTGTCCAAGCTTCAATTGAATCAAAACCTACAAATTTTACTTCCAATTTAATAGGGGAGACTACTTCAATACAAACACAAGAAGATCTCTTTAACATGGACTTAGACAATAATAAAGAACAAAACAACAAAACATCAATAACCATAACATTCTCCAGTACCAATGTTATTTTAGAATTTGCCTCAGACAGTAAGAACAACAACAGATGGATCCAAGTAAACAAAAAAAATAAGGCAAGGCAAAAGAAATAGAAGAGTCCTTAGAAAATAACCAAACAATCATGAAAACCAAAGGCTGTACTCCACTTTTGCCACCAGTTGACTGGAGTGAAGAGTACAAAAGATAATGTTTCAAGATGCAAATACCTTTAATCAATATACCAGGAGGTATAACCCAAGGCAAAATCAATAACCTCAGTCAAATTCTTTCTCGCTTGGAATCCTTCAAAAGCATATGCACAACTATGCAGAATGATACCAAAATGGCAGTCACAATGTTCGTCTTAGCAAATGATGTGAAAAAAGTCACAAACATTACAATGCATAACAACATGCAGATCACAATAGAATCCACAGCCTTAATTAATCCAATTCTGGCAAAAGGAAAGACAATCAGAGCATAGAACATATTCCTGCATGTCACAAAAGCACAAATCACAGAAGCCTTTACCAAACTCAAACAAATTAAAAATATCACACTAACTACCAATGGAATATGGCAATCAGCCAACATTGAATTTACTAATCAAGAAGAGTACAATCATACTGTGCAAAAGTGGTTATATCCCTTTTTAGCAAATTTAATTAGAATATTCTCATATTTAAATGCCAATAAAATCAAAGCACAACATAACCAATATATCTTAAAATTGTGCAACCTTTCATCAGAAACAACAGGTTATGATCTAAAACAAATTTTAACAGACATCTATGCATAAACATGTTATATTCCCTGCACAAAAAACTATTTGCACAAAAAATTCGCAGTGATTAGTGTGAGGGTCTTTCAAAGTCCTCTTGAATATTTAGGTTTTTAAGGCTAAGGCGTAATAATTTGGTCCGAGTATCCTGCTCTTTCTCTATAAAATAAACTCAAATTCGTCCGTTAACAATGCGCAT